TACGACATGTATAAGCTCGTCTCATCAGCAACAATCTTATTAAATGCTTTACTTGGACGAAGCCTGGCCTTTATCCTTATACACGAATTTACAGTTCTAGGCGAACAATTCTGTTTTCCTTTGTCCTTAATTTCTTATTCTTTCCTGTAATCGCAACCCTATCTACCGAAAAATTTGCACTCTTTCATTAGTTTGAATTACAGGCCACTAACTTTGCCATCATTATTCCTCATACTTAAGAATTTACTTCACATTTTAAGTTGTTTCTTTCTCATACAGGTATGGTAACCTCATTGGACATAACGGTAGACCCATGATTACCAATATTTCTGATGCAGTAGATTCCTATTAATTGCGAAGTTTCATGTAAAGAGTTAAAAAGTATTAAGGAAAACCCATCGTTTACAGAGCAATAAATAATTTATCTAAGTAAATTCGAGATAACTTAGAGAAAAATCTACATTTTATAACTATTTAATTTATTAGGGGACCTTCATTTCGTATAAAAGTGCATGAAGTAGAAATTCATTGGTCGATCTCACCAGATGAGGACGGATGAATCTCGTTGTACTGCAGCCGTTAAGATTTTATACGATATTCATGTTGACGCAGTCCACACGACTTCCTCCCTCGTTTAGGGGAAGAACGTGCTCAGCTCTCGTCCATCATATGATGGACGAGAGCTCAGCACGTTTTCCCCCGAAACGATGGAGGAAGTCCCGTGGACTGCGTCAACATGAATATCGTATAAAATCCAAACGGTGTAATACAACGAGATTCATCCGTCCTCATCTGGTGAGATAGACCAACCAATGTCTTCTTCATGCACTTTCATACGAAATGAAGGTCCCCCTAACGATGTTATTTCAGGAGATTCATCGAAACCAAGTTTCTCTTCGTATTTAATTTTTGTATCAAATACAGATATAGTTCTTAATAAATGATGATTTTAAAGGAATTTATCTAGTGATAAAGGACTGGTAGTTAAATTTTTCCACAATTATATAATTTATTGGTTATCTCGAAACCCTACTTACATACGAAGAATAAGTTATACTTCATCGAGAATAATACCACAGAATGTGATATGGGAAAATGCCTGACATTCCTAGAATTTCACATCTGTCCAGTGAGCCAACGGGACTCGTGCGAGTGTGGCTTAGTGGTCAACATGTCGATATTATTCGTTGCACTGTCATACTCTAAGTCCCACTGAGGGTGCCCATGAAACCTAGGCAGGGTTGAAACTGCAGTCCACCCTGGAAGAGAATACCTCTTGGGGATCAACAATATGTACCTTTCATCTCGTTTGATGATGCGAGTGGAAGGGATTCGTTAGTTGCCCTCATCGGATTGCTTTGGAGCTGAGACTGTAGATTTGTGCAAATTGATCCTCGGCGCACCGCACTGCGACCCTAATGAATTATTGTTGAACTTTCGTCCTTCATGTCACGGACATCGTCAGACCAGGACATCATGCTCTACGATAATTCACCAAGCACAAGGGCTAGAAACGTGGCCGGCTGCAATCCTTTTATATTTTGCCAGATAGTCTCTTATGTGTTGGTCTACAGGTCTCCCCCAAGTTGACACTACCACATGAACACGCAACCCGATAGCAGCCCGATTGAGTAATTGGATCAGACATTTCCCAATTAGAAGGAATTACTGAGGAAAGTGTTATTTTCTCTTTATGCCATCCTTTTATATCCTAATTCCTCTGTAGTTCATTTATCCTTTTCAAAGCTGGCACGACGGTAACCAAATCATGCGATGTCTCACTAAGTGGACCTAGCCAAACTAAAAAAAGTATTATGGATTGCAGTCGGCCACCTTCCTTGTCTTTGTGCTTGGTGAATTATCGTAAAGCATGGTGTCCTGGTTTGACAATGTCCGTCATCTAATAGACGAAGACTCAATATGGATTTATCGGGGTCGCGGTGCGATGCGCCGAAGGGTTATCTGCATGCATCTATAATAACAACTCCAAAGAAATCCCCCTTCAGCTTCCGATGAGGCCAACTTACGAATTCCTTTCATTCGCCTCTTCAAAGTAAATAAAAGGTACAGAAACATGCATTTATTACGGGATTCTTCAAAAATCTGATTCTTTACATATTTGAAATTCAGTTTTTGTGGGATATGAAGACCAAGATGGTGTGGCCTTCTCTTCGGTCGCAATCTCCTTTAGCTTTCTAATGTTGATTCGACCTTGTTTTCGCGATTTTGTCGAAACGTCTTGTTGTTGTATCAATCGTGCAATTCTTTATCTTGATATAATATTGATCCCCGTTATCCAACAATTACTGTTGCCTCTGATATGGTCCAGTGAGGAAATTCTTTTGGACAGTGACGATCCCACTTTGGAAGAGTAGACACCCGGAAACTACACAGCCTCTTTACCGAACCTGCCCCGGTTAAATGACATTATGTATCAAATATGCGTAGGAAACTTTGGTTATTTTCTCTATTTAATTCTGTCCTATAAAAATTGTATATAATTATCGGCTGCCTTGATTAGCTGATGGTTAAATTAACCGGAATCCACTACTTTTCCAGCATCTTACTGTCCACAAACTTGATCTCACAGTCCTTACTTGTCTACCAGACCTTTTGACGGCTTTGTAGCTGACCGGTCTCTTCTGTCGTCGTTTAGTCTCTACCTTTTCTTAGCACTAATACCATAATTTCTCGCCATCTTTTTATCTATTCCTTTACTTCTATGGACCAGATTGCTCATTTTTTTCTTTTTAACCCATTTCGTTATGTGCTGTTAAAGCTTATAGTCACACTGTGATTTCACTTAACATCCCCGTGATTAAGCCCTTGTACTGTTAGCTAACTGGAAACTTATGTCTCTGATATCTGCCGCATCGCTGAAATGGATTTTTAGTTGATTTGGTACTGTTCTTCCATTCATAATAGCATTCTTCTGAGCTGGTTGATTAACATTTTCCCTCAAGCTTTGAGCATCCTATATTTTTAGTTGGTTCCTGGATGTTATTTCCCGTTTTCTTTGAGCTTACCTTAACAGAAGTAGGTTACCCTTCTAGTCTTATCACTTAAGTTTCTATTCCCTTATCATTTCTCTATATAAGCTTTAGTGTTTTAATTAATCCCGTGTCCTCTTCATGCATAGTTTTCTGATTTTTCCAATATATCCATATCAACATTTATGCAAGACCTATTGTTCTTTGATTCTTATTCAAATTTTAGCTATATAATTTCGACCAGTCACTGCAGTCAGTTCGCAAGAGAGCAGTCACTTTTGTACACCTATTTCACCTTTTATTATATTTCATAATCCACTTATTGTCGGATTCTCATCAATCTGCATTTTTCATTGCATTAGTTTAGTCTGATGACCATTCTCTCGGGACGCTCGTGTTTGCTTCTAATGTTCAATCCAGCATCTCTGATTTTTACTGCTTACAATCACAATACTGACTACTCTGAGCTCCAATCTTTAATTTTTAAGAAACTTAAAATTTAGGATTATTCTATTTTGAGTTTTTTTAATCATACTTCTTTTGATTGTCACATATGAGCGAATAATTTTGGTATTCAAAAAGGGTAATCCATTCTTATCCATCTCTCTTGTGTATTGGACTTTTCATTAAATTGAATTTTTTCTAAGTTTTCTGCTAATCAAATTAAACAGCATATATCCAGAAATTGTATTGGCGGTGGTGTTGTATTTCTTTCTCGCACTTTTTTATTTAGACCTTGGCCATATGAACTGAGAGTGGAGATCCCATAGGTAGCCCAAGCACCCGATCATGACTTTGAATATCACATATGAAGCAGTTGCTTTTTATTTTTAGGTTGACAAATCGTATTAAAATCCTCTTTCGGGTCCGCTCAGCCCCTAGTATATCGTCCTTTGATTCTAAGATCCCCAGCAGGGCAGTGAGTGACATTTCTTTCGAGATGCTTTTAACATCAAACTTTACTCACTTCTGTACCTTCCTGCTTAATGCTTTCGACCATTTAAAAATTTGAATGCCCCTAAATTCGTCCAGTATGTATGTTACTTTATAATTTTTCTTGAATAGAATCTTTGTGTTTTTCCCTTTTTGTGTATCGTCTCTACTTCTCAGGCTATATTGCGTCATTTATGATTGTTAAATTATAGCCTACTTTTGGCATGTTCCTCTGTTTTCTCTAAATTTTTTGCTTAGCGTATTCTCTTGGTATCTTAATTTAAGCTTCTGATACTCCCATATTTTAACCATCTATAGTCCTTCATTTAGGCCTTTTTTTCCATCATTGGATTAAGGGCGACTTTTTTAATGGTTTTGCTTCCTATCATCATAGCTTTTATTCACTATTTCCATCTCAATTTCTAGACGAAGCGCTCGCTTGCTCTGGCTAATTGGTCAATCTGTCCAGTTTGCACTAGATCAACTTGTCGATCGTCCACATTTCTTGCTCCGCTTGCTCGCTAATCTTACCGGCTTAGATAGTATACATATTATACGGGACTTCTTCAAAGATTCTGCTGACATTTCATCTGTACAAACTACTACTGCTGTCCCTACTTCTGTTTATAATGAAAATACTTCTGATGAATCTAGCACTCATGCAAGAGCCAATCAGTCCGGCGATCTTAAAAGTACCCAATTTCATTTAATGGGGCTACTTGATAGTGATTCAGGACAACATCAGGCTGCGAGCCAAGAAGCTGAACTGGCCGTCGGTTCAAATACGCATTCGCCACATAATGCTGCCTTATCTTCTAGTAAATCGTCATCTATTTTTTTCCCTCAGGGCTCTGCGGCGCACACCACAATGACTAAACATTTTTCTACTCTTCAAGATGTAGATCATGTACGCTTGGATTCTGATTTCCAGGTGTCGGGTGACTCCTCTCTTCCATCTTCTGATGTTGCAGGCCGCCGTATAGCTTCTAGCGCCGTGCCACTGCCTCCTGTTCTTATGCTCACAATGCCATTGAACCTCAGAACGTCTGCGGACGCTTTGCTCGCAGACACTAGCTCCTGGATGGAGACGCAATTTTTGCAAACTTACAGTTTGTTATGCTCTCTTTTTGAATATCTCGCGACACAACCATCTTATGTAGACTTTTCCAACATTACTAACCCCAATAATGAAGCACACTCTGACAGACTTCTTGAGCTATCTCCTTCTTTCCCTGAGTGTATGGTCCATACGCAGGAAGCGGCTATTGTGGAGCCCTTTATTGAACCCCAACACCTTTCTTTACAGATAAAACAATCACAAGAGGCGCCCACTGCATTTTCTGCTTCAACAGAAGAGTTAAAATGTCCTAATTCCCTTCCGACTGCTTCAAATGGCTCGAAAATCGGT